TACCACAATGCTGTCATGGGAAGATTGCTCCAAATACCCAGCAGCCCGTACTGGCGACACAACTCTCGGTAAACCCGCCTCCTGTTGTTTTACTGAGGGGTATCGCTCGATACGGAAAGATATCTGATAAATTAGGTGACCTTCAAGTTTGGGACCCTGAATACAAAATTCCAGGTGATATTCAAGACAGGCTGCTTCAAATGTGCAGAAATAGCCCTGTGACTGGAGTACGAATCAAAAGGTACAGTGATGGCAGAACTGAGTGTCACCGCACTCGAAATATAAAACCTTGTTCGCTAGACAGTGAAAAAACACTAGCTGCGGATGAAAAACTCGTATTGAAGACTCGTGTGCGCGAGGGAAAGGTCTCTTTTGAAGACGCCGATGTGCAATTTAAGTTCGCAAATTTGTATATTCCTCAATACGTTATCGATAGTTTTACAGAAAAGGATAATGGTAAACTAGTGTACATCATTTCAGATAGGGAACACAAATTTCGATGTGTAGTAAAACGTGAGGGTGTTGGCGAGACAGCGAAAGAATTTGGGGAGAAAGAGCATTTCTTATGTTTTCCCAAGTCAAATTGATACCTTGGAAGGAATGCCATCCATTCCTTAAAGTTACATCTGTGGCTACCAGTTAGGGAATTTGCTTTTCGAAACTTATCACTTGATAATCAGATTTTTTTTATGAAATGATCAGATATAGCATCGCATAAATATGATGTTAATGTATTTACCTTTCTTCACAAAAGTATTTAGAATTTCCTAATTAGTCGACTCATTATAACACAGCCAAGAAATCATAGTAGTCTTCAACTTTCACTCAACTCGCTCATAGCCTCTTCCAGTTGTCCAGTCCGTGAAACTAAGCGTGAGGATAAATGACGCGAAGGTTGCGGCTGAGCAAACTTGCGACTTGCGACTTGGCCCTTACAGATTGTGTGACTTTTTGGCATGATCAGAAAAAAACGAGTACAATTTTTGCTCCTTTTTCAAAAAAAGCACTGCAGCCCATTCAGCATATTTTAGTTGTTTTTTTTTTAACGGAACATAATAAGAGTCATGAAACGTGATGCTAACATCGTAAATTTTCATACATTAATTCACTGCAGTTTTTTGTCAGAACAAGGGTGCTTCTCCAAATGAAGTGAAATATCATGCTCCATTAACCATAAATATATAATTTTAAGCATAATTTTCAAACAATCGTGCCGTGCTAGTAGCATAACATGCTACTTTTACTAGGACAGTAAATATATATTGCATATTGATTTACAGAAATAGAAGAGATAATAATCGGGTGATCGGTGGAATGGCGGATTATCTCAAGACGCAGAATGACGGAATATCCTTAAAGTGTAGAATGCCTTGTATGAAACAAAAGTCGCAGAAAATGGAATTGCATTATTATAAGAAAATTATTTACAATTAACAGGCGAAATTGAGAGATGCCTAGCCTCTTTAAATTTTATTATATTACT